CTCAGGAGGCTGAGATAGGAAGATTCCTTGAGCCCAGGAGAGCTATGATGATGCCACTGCACTCTAGTCCAGGCATCAGAGCAAGACTTTGTCTCAAAAAAAAAATCTTAATTTTGAAATTTGCTTAAATGTTTTTAAATTCTGAAAATATCTCTCGATTACATTTAATAATCATTAACTCTGAAATCTTATTTATTTGAATGAAACAGATAAGTAAAATCTTTCTACTTTGAACCCTTCAAACACTAATTTAGGCTTGAGTTAAACTAGGAAAGAGTGCCACCTACTGAATCAAAATTACTTAAACATCTCAACATTAAGGTCATCTTGCAAAACATGTAAAGCTCTAGCATTTTCCTCAAAGATGTACATTTAAGAGGATCTTCATATAGCAAATATTATTTTATTTAACTAAATTTTCCTTTCTGGCAGAAGATAGACTGGCCACGTGTATTTGTCATACCCAACAAATGATAAAGGAATTAAAAGGGTACAAACCCCAAAGAAGAAAATGAGAGCAGATCATCGTCAAACAAGTTATTCCACCAAATATCTGGAAGATAAAAATCGGAGAACTAGTGATTGTTATAGCAGAGTGAAAAGGCCACACCACAAACTACTATCAAAGGTTGCACCAATGAGCAAGCTACTATGCCTTTCAAAATGCAAGAGAGGCTAGGGGCACAGGCTAACGGCAGGGGAGTCCAGGAGTAAAACTTAGAAATGAAACAGGAAGAGATAAACTGTTAGTCTTTATGTAGCATACTCAAGCCTCTCCACATCTTTCTTCACCCATAAAGAATATATGGCATCTAGACCGGGCTCAGTGGCTCACGCCTGTAATCCTAGCACTCTGGGTGGATTGCTCGAGGTCAGGAGTTCGAAACCAGCCTGAGCAAGAGGGAGACCCCGTCTCTACTATAAATAGAGAGAAATTAATTGGCCAACTCATACATATAGAAAAAATTAGCTGGGCATGGTGGCGCATGCTTGTAGTCCCAGCTACTTGGGAGGCTGAGACAGAAGGATTGCTTGAACCCAGGAGTTTGAGGTTGCTGTGAGCTAGGCTAATGCCTCAGCACTCACTCTAGCCTGGGCAACAAAGCAAGACTCTGTCTCAAAAAAAAAAAAAAGAATATATGGTATCTAGGCCTCTGGGTCCTAGGCTAAAAACAGGGGAAGGGAGTTCTGTAATGAAACAGATTGAAGTAGTTCAGGAGAACTTGAGAAGCTGCTGTGAGAAGCAGCAATAAATACTTCACATTTTAGGATGTATAGGCTCCACCTGCCCACACCTGCCTGGCAGTAGATAGCACCCTTCTACACAGACACTTAGTTGTTATACTACATCATTTAAAACAATTCATTGACAACCAAAAAATACCAGATATTTGAGGAAAACTTGTAACATGAAAGAGACCAAGATAAATATATTTTAAATGACCATGGAGAATGGTGATAATTCAACAAACAGAAGGGGGAAAATATTTTAAACCCTCTAATATACTCGGAAATTCAAAATGATACTGCATTCTTATAACAAGAAAAGGATGTTGTGAAAAAAAGCAAGAAAGAATGTTTAAATATTAAAATTATGATTCTGAAATTAAAATTCAATAGAAGGGTTAAAAGATAAGAGCAAGAAAATCTTCCAGCATAGAAGACAAAAAGGAAAAGAAATATGAAAGAAAACATAAGAAATACAGAGTACTAAAACCTAGAGGTAAAATATCTAATAGAAGCCAGGTATGGTGGTGTGCACCTATAGTGCCAGCTACTCAGGAGGCTGAGGCAGGAGGATCTCTTAAACCCAGGAGTTTGAGTCCAGCCTGGGAGACATAGTGAGATGCCCAACTCAGAAAAAAAGGAAGGAAAGGGAAAGGGAAAGGGAAAGGGAAGGAAAGGAAAGGAAAGGAAAGGAAAGGAAAGGAAAGGAAAGGAAAGGAAAGGAAAGGAAAGGAAGAAATTACAAGTTCCTGAAAGGGAGAACAAAGAAAATAGAAGAAATTATGAAAGAAAGAACAAGAAAGTTCCCAGAACTGAAAAAGAGAGTTCTAAAATTCTAAAATTGTGTATTCATTCACCTGTTGTTAGACACTCAGTTGTTTCCATCTTTTGACTATTGTGAATGATAAGCATTCGTGTACAGGTGTCTGTTTGAGTCCCTGTTTTCATTTCTTTTGGGTAGATACCTAGGAACAGAATTGCTAGGTCAAATGATAATTCCATGACTAACTTTAGTGGCTATGCCACTTTACATTGCCATCAGCAATGTATGAGGGTTTCAATTTCTTCATATCCTCATCAACTCTTGTTATTGTCTGTCTTAGTCATCCTAGTGGGTATGAAGTGGCATCTCATTCTCTCTTTTTTCTTTTTAATCTTTTTTTTTTCTTTTTTTGAGACAGAGTCTCGCTCTGTTGCCCAGGCTAGAGTACCATGGCATTAGGCTAGCTCACAGCAACCTCAAACTCCTGGGCTCAAGCCATCCTCCTGCCTCAGCCGCCTGAGTAGCTGGGACTACAGGCATGCGCCACCATGCCCAGCTAATTTTTTCTATATATTTTTAGTTGGTCAATTAATTTCTTTCTATTTATAGTAGAGACGGGGTCTCCCTCTTGCTCAGGCTGGTCTCCAACTCCTGACCTTGAGCTATCCTCCCACCTCGGCCTCCCATAGTGCTAGAGTTATAGGCATGAGCCATCACGCCTGGCCCATTGTGGCTATACTCTCTTGTACTCTTTCAGTGATTATCTTAGAAATGACCACAATCATCCTTACTCATCAAAATTTAGAATTATACCCTTTACTGTCTTCCCAGGCAAGAATCTATAAATGGCTTAACAATATTTACCAAATACATCCCCCAACAAACATAGTACTCATGATATATATATATATATATATATATATATATATATATATATATATATTTTATTTCGGCATATTATGGGGGTACAGATTTTAAGGTTTCAATAAATGCCCATTTCCCCCCCTCCCCCCACAAGTCTGAGTCTCCATCATGACCATCCCCCAGATGGTGCACATCTCACTCATTATATATGTATATACCCGCCCCCCTCCCCCCTCCCACCTGCCCAATACCCTATTACTGTAGTACCTATGTGACCACTTAGGTGCTGTTCAGTTAATACCAATTTGCTGGTGAGTATATGTGGTGCTTGTTTTTCCATTCTGTACTCATGATATTTTTTGTCATGTATTGTAATTCTGTTACATTTAAGTCCTACAAGACATTATTTTTGTTTTTCACCCCCTATTTTACCAGTCAATTTGATTTAGATTTATCCTCATGATTATAACTTTGTTTGGTTTTCATAGCTTTTTGCATCTCTGATCTTTCATGCCAGATTATTTTCTTTCCATTTGAAAAACAATCTATGGAATATCTTTAGTGATTACCTGCTATTGGCAATGTCTTTTTTATTTTTTGTAAAGATATAAATTTGCCTTCATTAATGAATTATTTCTAGAGTGGCAGTTATTTCCTCGCTGTACCTTGAAGATATTTCACTGTCTTCTGAAGCACTTGTTGTCATTGAGAAGGCAGTGGAGAGTTTAACTGTAGCTTCTAAATTAACCCGCCTTTTTACTGGCTACTTTAAGACTTTACATTTTGTCTTGATTACCAAAGTTTCCTTTTGATGTATTTGTTGAGCGATATTATTTTGTATTTATTACTCGGCTTGTCTTTCTTTCTTCAACGGACAGAGTCAATGCGGCCAGTCGCAGTCTGGGCTACTGCCTATAATACCTAGCGCTCTTCTGGGAGCCGAGGCGGCGCGGATTGCTCCGAGGTCAGCAGTTCAAAACCAGCCTGAGCAACCGATCGCGACACCGTCTCTACTATAAATAGAAAGATTAACTTGGCCAACTGAATAATATATACGCTGAAAAAATTAGCCAGGCATGGTGGTGCATGCCTGTAGTCCTAGCTCTCGGGAGGCTGAGGGAGGAGGATCACTTGAGCCCAGGAGATTGAGGTTGCTGTGAGCTAGGCTGACGCCACAGCACTCACTCTAGCCTGGGTAACAGAGCTGAGACTCTGTCTCAAAAAAAAAAAAAAAAAGACAGAGCTCTCACTTATAACGCCCACCAGGGGCGCTACGAGTGAGCTCGCTGTGGCGTCAGCCTAGCTCACAGCAACCTCAATCTCCTGGGCTCAAGCGATCCTCCTGCCTCAGCCTGCTGAATAGCTGGAACTACAGGTATGTGCCACCATGACTGGGTAATTTTTCTATTTTTAGTAGAGACAGGGTCTCACTGTTGCTCAGGCTAGTCTCGAACTCCTGAGTTCAATCGATCCTCACGGGTCAGCGTCCCAGAGTGCTAGGATTACAGGCGTGAGCCACCCTGCCAACATCTGCTTGGGCTTTGTAGGGCTTTCTGAATCAGTGGATTATCAACTATCATCTCTTCAAAATTTTGCCTCACATCCATTCTTTCTCTTTTTCTTCTGGAAGTTGAAATACACATGTTAGATCTTCTCATTGTAATTAGTATATTAATATTTCTTATCCCTCATACTGTATTACCTATTTTTTAATTCTTCCTTGCTTCATTCTGGATAGGTTCTTCTAAATTTTTTTCATTCACCGAATTCTCTATTTGTGACTAATCTACTAACCCAATTTTTAAAAATTTGGTGTCATACTCTTTTGCTTCTGGAATTCTTTCCCCCAAATCTGCTATGGCACTTATTTATAGTTCACAGTCCCTGCTGAAATTTTCAAGCTTGATTTTTGTCCCCTAAACATAGTAATCACGGTTGTTTTTTTAAAGTCTTTGTCTGTAATTTCGATTTCTAGAGTCGCTGTGAATCTTTTTCTGTTATTTGCTTTTCCGGCTGGTTCTGACTCATGGCTTTTTGTGTCTTTGTGTGCCTCTTTATCTTTAGCTGTAGTCAGGACATTGTGCTTGAAATATTATTTATAGAAATCATCTGAGATGTGTTATGATGTTCACTTTGTATACACCAGGTACTCAAGGCAGTCAGCAGTGCAGGACCAAGGTGTGTGGTTTGCTGTACTATCACATGGATGTGAAGGTAAACCATAATCCAAATTCTTTCTCCTAGAGGACAGGCCTTCATGGCCCTGCCCAAAGCTTGGAATGGGTCACCATCCTCTATTCCTTCAGCCCAGGGAGGCTTCTAAAAGTACAGCCTAGGCTGGGTATGGTGGCTCAGGCCTGTAATCCTACCACTCTGGGAGGCCAAGGCCGGCGGATCACTCAAGGTCAGGAGTTTGAGACCAGCCTGAGCAAGAGGGAGACCCCCGTCTCTACTAAAAATAGAAAGAAATTAATTGGCCAACTAAAAAAATATATATATATAGAAAAAATTAGCCAGGCATGGTGGCGCTATGCCTGTAGTCCCAGCTACTGGGGAGGCTGAGGCAGAAGGATTGCTTGAGCCCAGGAGTTTGAGGTTGCTGTGAGCTAGGCTGATGCCATGGCACTCGAGCCGGGGCAACAAGAGTGAGACTCTGTCTCAAAAAAAAAAAAAAAGAAAAAGAAATATTTGTCTCAAAAGCCAAAATGTCATCCAGTATACTACATTATATTTCGTTGTCTTGTCTGTCTCTTTAGGTTCCTCTTCATGATGGTAGTTTCTCAAACTTTCCTTGTTTTTGATGGGCTTGACAGTTTCGAGGAGTACTGGTCAGAAAAAAAGTTTTCTTATGAAGATCTCTCCTTAGGATCTCACTTTACTTACAAACCATGAAGAATATCTCAAAGAAAAGAAGGAGGACCATGCGTGCTTAAGGACCCTAGATGGCCTTCTCTGTAAAGCATCGACACGTTGCTGTGCATCTTTGAAGCAAAGAGATCTACAACCTGCATGTGGAGCTTTCAGACTCCACAGCCTTCTCTATGCATGAGAAGAAAATTCTTTTTGCTGAACAGAAATGAGCACGCAGAATCCATAAGGAACGTGCTGCCGATACCATTTGTTTGAGACAAACAAAACGCAGCTCTAGTTGGTCAGTTACTGGCAATTTTGCTAATTGTGGGCTTCCAGGTGAAAAAGATTATACATGATTGCAGGGAAATTGTGACTCTGAACAGTACTCTGTCATCCAATGCCGTGGAAGCTGCTGTGTGCTCAGGTCTATGTGGCATTAACCATGAGGCACTCAACACGCAAATCATGGGCTACAACGGGAAGAGAAAGGATCTGGAAATTTGAGCCCAGGGTTGGCCAAGACAAGAGCAGGAACAGCTGGCTGAGTTGGCAAAGCAAATGAAAAAGGGAAAGAATAAAAGCAAAGTCCCTCATGGATGATGACACCTCTCTCAAGAAGTACCTGTTGGGGAGAATGAGTGAAGGTGATTTGGACGATGGGTACATTTTCTGAGAAGCACACATTGGAATAGAAATATGAACTACCAGAGAAGACCAACTGGAGACAGAGAGAGGAGGTGACAAAAAGGAATAAAGCTAACTTGTCACAGAAGTTACAGAGAAAGTAAGTTTGTGAGTCATCAATGCCGCTGACAAGCTTTTTTTGACGGATTAAACGGAGGCAGACTTGTAGCTGCTATAGGAGTCTGTACTATGTTTATGGTTATGTACTATGCATTGTGTTTATATGTAATATGAATTCTGCTTTGGAAAACAAAAGTAAGCTTTTAATGTTTCAGATAGAAAATAAAAGAGTAGGCCCGGCAAGGTGGCTCACACCTGTAATTCTAGCACTCTGGGAGGCCGAGGCGGGTGGATCATTTTAGCTCAGGAGTTCGAGACCAGCTTGAGCAAGAGTGAGACCCTGTCTTTATTAAAAATAGAAAGAAATTACCTGGACAATTAAAAATATATAGGAAAAATTAGCTGGGCATGGTGGCTCATGCCTGTAGTCCCAGCTACTAGGGAGGCTGAGGCAGGAGGATTGCTTGAGCCCAGGAGTTTGAGGTTGCTGTGAGCTAGGCTGATGCCACTGCACTCTAGCCCCAGCAACAGAGTGAGACTCTGCCTCAAAAAAAAAGAAAAAAAAAGAAGAAGAAAAGTAAAGAAAAGAGTAGAAAGTGATGAAATAGAAAACAAAAACAATAGAGAAACAATGAAGCCTGAAGCTGGTTCTATGAGAAGATCAATAGTACAGATAATCTACTAGCTGTACTGTTTTAAGGATTTTAAAAAAGAAAAGAAACAAACTGCCAACATCAGGAATGAAAGACAGGATATCAATTCAAATTCACACATTGAATTCATTGTTTTAAAACTTCCCCAGAGAAATCTTGAGGCCCAGATGGTTTCACTGCTGAATTCTATAAAGTGAGAAAGAAATGGTACAAATTTTATACAAACTCTTTCAGGAAGTAGGAGAGTGAATATGTATCAACTCCTATGACCAGTAATCCTAAAACCAAAACCTGACAAAGACATTTAAAAGAAAAAAAATTTTTAGGCAGCAAGCCTCATGAACATAGATGCAAAAATCCTTAACAAAATTTTAGCAAGTCAAGCCCAGCAATATACAAAAATGAATAAGACATTATGACCGAATGTATTTTATCACAGGAATACACGGTCAATTTAATAATCAAAAATCAGTCTGAAGCTTGACGCTCTGACTCAAGAGGAGAGGGGAGGCATGGGCAATATACGTAACCTTAACACTTGTACCCCCATAATTCGCTAAAATAAAAAAAAATCAGTCTGTGTAATTTATCATATTATCACACTGTAAAAGAAAAACTATATGATTATTTCAACACATTCAGAGAAAATCATTTGACAAAATTCAACACCCACTCATGATAACTCATAGCAAACTAAGAATAGAAAAAAACTTCATCAATCTAAAAACAGGCACCTACAAAAAAATCTAAAGCTAACATGTTACTTAATAGTGAAAGACCAAAGCCATTTCCACTAAAATCAGGGAAAAAGAAAGTCAAAGTTATAGCTTTGGAATATTCCTCTGGCTTCTGCTATTAGAGCCATGTTTTCCTCCTCTGTTTCAATTTTTTAAAATTATGTTTATAACCTCTATTGGAGCACTTACCACATTTTATTTAATTATTTAACTTATCCTTCTGTGTCTCACTCTACTGTGACCTTATAAGTCCTTTGTATATTTATTGAATAACTCAATTATGAATTATAAAGTGTCTTAAGGATCATCTAGTTCAATCGTCCTATTTTCCACTACAGAAAAGCACACTGCAGAGAGATCTACTATTTCCCAATATTCCACAGCAAGTTAATTGGCAATAGTAATCAACTGTGTCATTTCATCAAAGAGCTACTGTCTCCTTGAACTGATTAATAAAGTGGGTAGGCTTTATTCCCACTATAAAGGAGAAAATTATATCTGAGAAAGTTTAAATTCCTTGTCCAAGGTCAATATTAAATGTTAAAGTGAGGAGTACACAAAGACAGGAAGTCTCACATTAAAAATATTTTCATCTTTGGAGCAAGAATATTTTCCACTGATTCATTTTTGCTTTGTGCAAAAAAAACCTAAGTTTTAACCTTGAGAAAATGAGCTTAGGGATGCAATCTAAAGATCTGAAACTATGCCTGTATTTTTTAAATGTTGAAATAATCACCAGTTCCTTGCCATAAGTGCCCCTTGAAATGAATCATCTTTTATATTTACTTATTTATGTAAACATCCCCAGCCCTGTTCTATAACAGTATTTCTGTTAGCCTACATGAACACATGTAAACACCAGGGTAGAAATGTAAATGGATTAAGACTTCAGGGAAGAAAAAAAAAGAGGATAGCAAAATTCAGTCTGACACAGAAATATATACCATAGAATCCTGGACAATTTTTAGACATGAGCCACACATTTAGCTTTAGATTCCTTTCAGACAAAGCTGACAGGGAAACGCAATTAGATAAAAGATTCACAATGTCAATAAGGTAATGTGTCTCAGAAGAAGTACAATTTTTCCTTACATTGAGACCTGAAAGCAATATTAATATTGTCATTAAAGGAACACTGTGTGACAGTAGACAACATTCTTTTTTTTTCCCCTCCTGCCAGTAAACAACATTCTTGACAACATCCCTACAATAATTATGATGATGAATTTCATGAAAAGAAGGAAGCTTAGGAGATCTATTTTACATTGAGATCCTTTTATAACTCCTTGAGAAAGGAGGTGAGCCCAACTAAAAGTACATGCCTAATAGGGAGGCTGATATAGAAGACAAAGTATGAGTCTGGTCATAAACCCTCTCATAATCTCTTCCCACAAAAACCTTCTAGATGGTTAGGGTTCTTGCCAAGTCAAGGCAGGAGTTTTGCAAGAAGGGTTTTTCTGCAGGTATAATCTACTGCATACCATCCCCCCCTCTCCTGCTGGTACAGCTTGTCCCAAATCCAAAGGCTAGCTAAGACAAAGACTATGGATTTTAGAACACATTACTCCTTGTCATAAAGAGATCAGTTATTGCATAGCATAAACAAGCACTGCTATTCCAACAGTACCACCTACATGGGGAAATTTGTAACATGTGGGGGAAAGATTTCATTAGGTTTATCTTGAGTAGCCTAGGATAAGTTTCTTAAGAGAATTAGCCTTAAGAGATAGGAGACATTTTAAGCTGAGTAATGAGTTCATGAGGGTTCATTTTGTATTCTTTCCACCTTTCAATATGTTTGAGATTTTCCATAATAAAAAACTAAAAGGCGCCAGGCGTGGTGGCTCACGCCTGTAATCCTAGCACTCTGGGAGGCCCAGGCGGGCAGATTGCTCAAGGTCAGGAGTTTGACATCAGCCTGAGCAAGAGAGAGACCCCGTCTCTACCAAAAATAGAAAGAAATTAATTGGCAAACTAAAAATATATAGAAAAAATTAGCTAGGCATGGTGGCTCATGCCTATAGTCCCAGCTACTCGGGAGGCTGAGGCAGGAGGATCGCTTGAGCCCAGGAGTTTGAAGTTGCTGTGAGCTAGGCTGACGCCATGGCATTCTGTCCAGGCAACAGAATGAGACTCTGTCTCAATAATAATAATAATAATACTGAGGAATAAACTCAAAACTCATCACAAAAAGAGATAAAAAGATGAGACAGGGCAGAAAGAGTGATATGCTGTTAATGCGAATTCCAGAAAAAGAGAATAAAGGAATTGTATAACAACATTCCAAGGGATAATAGCTGAGTAGTTTCAAGAACTGAAGAAAAAAGTGAATCTTCAGATTTAAAATACACTTCTGCAGGACAGAGAAAATCCACACCTTTATATTCAAATGTAAGTAATATAACACTGAAGAACTTCAAAGATAGAGAGAAATTGTTTGAAGCCTAAGAAATTATTTAATATAAAAGAAAGGTCAGCCAGGCGTGGTGGCTCACACCTGTAATCCTAGCACTGTGGGAAGATCATTCAAGGTCAGGAAATTGAAACCAGCCTGAGCAAGGAGCCGAGACCTCGTCTCTACCTATAATAGAAAGAAATTATTGACCACACTAAAAATAATATAGAAAAAAATTAGCTGGCGCATGCGGTGGCACATGCCTGTAGTCCCAGCTACTCAGGAGGCTGTAGGCAAGAGGATCGCTTGAGGCAGGAGTTTGAGGTTGCTGTGAGCTAGGCTGATGCCACAGCACTCTAGCCTGGGCAACAGAGTGAGACTGTGACTCAAAAAAAAAAGTAAAAGAAAGGTCATTAGACTTACAGAGATAATTGCTTCAAATTGATGAAAGTAAATACAGTTTTCCCTTGATAGACGCAGGGAATTGGCTCCAGGGCCATGCCCCACCTATATCAAAGTCCTTGCACACTCAAGTCCCGCAATCCGCCCCGCAAAACCTGCGTACATGAAAGTTGTCCCCCTCCTGCCCCGTGCCACATGAGCTGTTTTGCATTCTGCTAATACGTTATTTTCATTGCCTTTGGCTGAAAAAAAAATCCCCATGTGAGTGGACTGCACAGTTCAAACTTGTGTTGTTCTGTAATTGTCAACCTAAAAATCTATGTGCAGCCAAACTGTCATTCAAGAATGAGGGCCAAGAAAAAAAAAAAAAACAAAACAAAGGATAGAAGAGAGCGTGGTCTTCTGATCCCCACTGAAAGAACTACCAAAGGGTATAAGTTAGTGAGAAAAATGAACATTAAAAGAGGTGGGATGCAAGACACGAGAGAACATAGTAGAACTTCATAAATTATGTTATTAAATTTAATTAAATGTCAAACTATAAAATAATAATTAGAAGAAACTAAAACTCAAAAAACTAAAAACTCTGTTCAAAAATAACAAGATAGGTAAGGATAGGGGGTTTATCTCTATGTAATTATCAATGGGCAATAACAGCATGCAAAGGTTCAGGCGAATGGATAGGGATACTAAAGAGTTTTAGACTTTCGGGAAAAAATGTATAATTAAGTGGTGTGGTAGCCAGCCTCCAGTGATGGCTTCCGATAGCCTCACCTCCTGGTATGCACATCATTGAACGGTGGCTTACCCGTGTGCCTGCTAGAATACAGAAGTGACAGGGTTTCGACTTCTGAGGCAAGGTCATTAAAGATGTGGCGATTTCCGCCTTGGTCTCTGTCTTGAATCACTGGCTCTATGGCAGTGGT